TCCTAAGCTCAAGGTCATCCTCTGGAGCTTAGTGACAGGGATGCATGATTGAAAGGGGGCAAAAATCAAATCCCATAAAAATGTGTTAGGGCTTTCAACTAAAAATCCCTTGACTGAAAACTCACCGCTAAAAGATCCCATGCCAAGATATTTCTGAGCCTTAAACATTATTTTTCCATTAAGGATTAAAACATTGATATAACACAAATGTTGTGTTGCCATTTTGAGCTGTCATGAGGTTTGATTACTGTGTCATGCAACAGGGTTCGTACAGCTTTTTAGATCCAAAATTCAAGACTTTTTCCAGACTTTCTCCAAAACAAAAGTTTATTTTTGCAAACTCAAGTTATCAAATCGGTGATCAATAGAAACCTAAAAAATGTGGGAACCAAGCTTTTTTCATGATGCACTGCAAATGTATGGTAACCATGGTGCAATTGCAGACATACATGTAAGGGAGTTATGAAACTTCTCATTCAGTGCGATGAAATGTCTTCGCTACGGGAAAGACTGAAAGGAATTTGACTACAGGAAAAACACTTGCAGAACCTTTAAAAAAAATTTCGGACTTTTTACCATTTTTCCAGACTTTATTTCTTTTTCCAGACTTTTTCTAGGTGTGGAAAATTGCTTTGCAAATTTCAAGACTTTTCCAAGAATTCTGTATGAACCCTTTGCAATAATATGGGCCACTATAGATGTAGGAATACCTTCATTGTATGGTTTACCACCAGACCCAAACACAGACATAGGAATCTAAGAGACAAAGGAAATTGAGAATCAACCTGTTTGTTACGAAAAATTGTATTGCGTGACTTTTAAACATGACATTCTAAAAGCTTCACGAGAGTTCATAGTTTGTTTATTTTAATACCTTGGGTAAGCGTTCCCACCATGTATTTTATCATCTTTTTATATTTAGACTTTTTGGAAGTTCTAGAATATTATTGTATAAGTATACACGTAGGCGAGTCCGAGCGAAGTTTTAACCCTTCTTGACTAGCGAAGAGAGCTTGACGTTAATCGTGTTTAGCCCAGTGTGGCAAAAACAATATTTTACTCACTCGCTGCGCTCGTTCGTAAAATATTGTTTTGCCACTCGAAAATAAAATTCGTATCTTCGCGCCACCGTGTAATATCCTCTATTTACACAAAGAACCTCCAACCACATGGCACCTTATTACTAACTTAGATAATAATTCAAAGTTGAAACAGGAGGGCGATTTTCAGTATCTAGGCTCTTAAGAGCGATACTGGGCTAACAAGGCAGGAATTTCCATCTGTCATGACCAATAGACAGGAATGGGACAGACTCATCAAATCCGTGCGGGTGCACCCGAGATAGATAGATTACACAAACTATTTTCAATTTCATATACTGTATCAAGTAATAAATAGATTAGCAAGGAACATTTTCCTTACCTCATCCGTTCCGTGCATTGGTTTACCATCAGTGTCATCATTTAACCCGCCACTTTCATACAAATGATCAATAGATTTCTTGTCATTGAAGCCATCTATCAGAGCCTGTAATTTGAGAAATATTTTACAATATTTGTTATCAATAATTCAAAGAAATAAACCTGTGCCATGTGTGGGATCATACAGGTACGACGCTATTTATAAAAAAATAAAGATCAAAAGTGCCATTACCTGTATTCCAACTGTCCAGACGTCGTACTGCTGTTTATCAAGACAAACAATATCTACACTATGCAAACTTCTTCCAATCTTATAGATAACAGAGAAAGAGATGGACTGAAAAGAAAATGAAGTGCAATTTTAGGTGACTCCTGGCAAAACGAAATTAGACAGCTTGTATTAGAATAGCTTGCTAAGGAAGGTGATTCAAAAAACTTCAAGGGTTATTTAAGACTGAATGTGCTCGCTCCATGCAGATGATAACTGTACTAATATTGTTTTCTTCTGATAAATGTTCTGCTGACAGGGCTAAAATACACTTGAATTCCAGCTTCTCCTTTGGCTGGACTGTGCTCTAGAAATTAAAGAAGGCAACCTTTGCTTCATGCAAAACGTTTATGCCGGGCATCTTGGATTTCACAGAATTAATTGAGAGCTTTCAAGTTCGCAAACAAATTTTACTCACAGCACAACCTTGCATTGTTTTCCTTAATTCTTTGTTGATTTTTATCAAATAAAGTTACTGTATTCTCATGAACCTCATTTTTAATTGAACAATGATATTAACATTTACAGTTAACAAATGTTACGTATACGGTCAAATTTGATTTCAGTTTTAGCCCTAATTATTCATGAATTACTGCTAGGAGACATAAAGGAAAATGAGAATCAATCTATGTTAAAAAATTTTAACCTGAATTTAATTTTGGCATGGACTTTATTCAAAATTACATAAAGAAGACCCAAACATTTACAAGGGCTGTGTCTCTTTTCAAATGGTACAGGCACAAGCAGCATTTTTGCATTTCCTACCTCTTTTTGTGGCACAGGACAACTTGCAAAACCTTTAGATATTTGACCCTTCAACAACTGAGTTATTTGCGAAGTTAAAACTGCATGAAATGAAGCAAAATCATCATGCACATTAATTTGTTGCTTGGTAAAAGGATAAAAAATGCTTTCAATATTATATAAAATTGTTTTCCTGCTCTGGAAAAAAGGCAAGGACTAAAGAGATTACCAAATTTTTTTTTCATGCTCATTTTTCGTTTTTGGTCACTCAAACTAACTGAGAACCAGAAACAGGATAATTTCAGAGTTTATTTAGCCATAAGATTGACCAGCATCAATTTTCTCTTGACAATATATCAATACATCATTTAAAAAATCAGGAGAAAATATTATGAGAATTGTTTAAAGAAATAATCATCTAGAAGAAAATGCTTTGATCTTTAAGCAAATTCTCTTCACTGATGCTTCAAGGATATGTATGGAGTCTGATCAGTGTGGAGAATTTGTATGTGAACATTGCGGCTTAACATAACCTACCAGATTTCTCTTCTTGTTTTCTAGGTGATCCCCAGTGAAGATGTGAAAGATCTACAATCAAGTACAGGAAAGAATATCAAGTGACATATGCTTATTCAAAAGTAATTAAAGGATAAAATGTCATTTTAAATTATTTCAGAATTTATTTCTCATTATCTTACCTCGAGATAATACAAATCTCTTGAACTGAGGTGTTCCCTAGAAATGTTGTAAAGGGAAAAACGAGTTATCATTAAAGAACTAATCTCTTGAAACAAAACAAAACTGTTTAGATAGATGAGTGCAATCTTTGGGTCATTATGAACACTTTCCTAATCTAGATTGAGAGTTGCTCCCTGCAATTCTTCATTGTTTTTTCTTGACTCCTCAGTCTCTAGCACCTCCCCCATGATCACTGCAGACACCTTGGGAAACTTTGTGCCAATCCCAGTGGTATCCAACTTAGAGGGATCTGACTCTATGCAGGTACAGTCTCAGAGTGGATATAAGGGTCTAACATAGATTAGCAGTCAATGACCATTTTTTATTCACATGCAACCTTTAAAAAGGAAAATTACAAGAACAAAACTACATCCTCTCTCTATCCCTTTCACTCCCAGAGTGCTCTAATAAAAATCCTCAGTATCAGTTTTTACTTCGGCGGAGCGTGAAGTAAAGGATTCGCGACGCTCAGGAATGTATCAAAGTTGCAATTTTTTGACAAGATTGGGCAAGCAAAGTCGGTAGGTTTTCGGCTCTATTCGGCTATTTGACGAAGTGAGAGCCGAATTAGTTCGAGATATCTCGAGATCACTTCGATTTCTTTGATTTATTCTTTAACTTTTTTGAGGAAGAAAGAATTACTATTTTGGCCTTCCCGGGGTTTGAACCGACTCACCTGTGTGACCCGTCAGATCAGAGAAGACTCTAAGTTTAGGGATTAGCCAATTGTGCTACTGCGACCCAAGGTAGTTTGGGATATGAAAAATAGTTATGAAATGATGCACTAGTTTTGGGACAAGATTGGGCGTGCAAGTTCATGACTTTTCGGCTTGTTTCAACTATTACACGAAATGAAATCGGACTACTTCCAGAGTGACTACCCCCCAACAGTGACCATGCAAGGGGTGAAGTTGAACCCCTTCCTTATCACCCCCTGTAACTAAAAACTAATTGTATCGATAAAATGAATATAAAATAGAGATAACCAAAAATCTATTCTATCTTTGCACATGTACCATTATCTAGAGCCATTCTGCAAGGTAACAATACTGGCAAAGTTCAAAAATAGCCTGTGTACAGACCCTCCCTCTTGGAGGTGGCTGTGCAAGGAGTTCAACAGGTTTTGAAGAAAACAGTTGCTAGTCCAGAAATGAGGCTATGGTAAGAAGCATTCTAACTTCTATAAAACCAGTGAATCCTCGGTCAAAATCCCGCAAGGATAAGCAAAGTTGAGCAAAGATGAGCAAATACATGTATCACAATAGATGTGCACAAATGCAAAAATACAAGGCAACGCAAGCTCGATCCTGGGAAATAACAGCCATATTAATAATTAGAACCATAACTAAAAGTTACTTTGACCTTACATGACGTTTAGCCTTCATCATGGTAGATCCTTTCGTCATCTTATAGATTGACATGACAGAGGTTTCCGGAGAGGGTTTCGAAGCTGACGAAACACTTGTCTCACGATTTGCCATATTTAGCCTCCTTTATCCTAAATTCTGCAGTGCCAAGAACAACCAGGGGAACTCTATCCACCCACCATCGAAATACTGAACACGTTTCAATGTAGATCACCCGTTAGAAGGCTTCTTTTGCAATAAAATTAATGCTTCTTTCTAGAACCTTTCCGCCATGTTGAATCATCGCGCAATGCAATCTGGTAAGAAAATAAGCTTCTAGAACCTAGTCCTCACTGTCCTCGTGATTACTCTTCGTGTGACTTTGCTCCTCAAGATGGCGGACTTCGTACAATTTTTTTCTTTTTGAATTTTGATCAAAATGATTTGATCTTTGCGAAGTCAGCCACATAGCGGGATCAAACGATGGAGGCGTTTATAATCGATCCAGCTAGACTGATAAGCGATATAGTTGGTAAGTATTTTCAAAACTTTGCGTGATAAAATCACCAAGCCGTGAATAATATATAATTATTCTTCACACATTATTGATAGCTTTGTGTGTGCAGATGGAATATTCACAAAAGCACATACTGAAATGTTTAAGACTCGCAGGTTTCTATGTGTGATGAATCATTAACGTAAGTTTAAGGGCCTGTTAATTACATGGCGGTAGAGACAGTCTGAGGGACCCCAGGTAGGTGATGTAACCTGCTTTAAGGTGGGGTAACCTATGTCACCCGTCCATATAATCTTTCATTTTAATTTGATCACGTTTACATGATAGGTGGGGTGACCACATGAGAGATTATATGGACAGGCGGGTTACCTTACTTCCTTGTAAACAGGCTGTAAGAGACATCTTCATGTTAATACAAGCAAATCTTCGAATTTTTGAAATGTCAATCAGTTAAGGTGATTATGGTTAGGCTGCATAAAGAATTGATAATGCAAGAAATAGCACTATTTTGCTTAATCTATTTTAGCAGAAACTTGAGTTAATGCGTAAAAATTCCAGGGCAAAGATCTCTCTGTAAAAAACCTCCAGAGAATGGACAACACTCCCTCCCCCCAGTCATGAATACTCTCTGGAGGGGTGACGAATGGTGCCTTTAAAAACGTGGGTCTCGGAAAAGTTTGGCAGGATCTCGAAATCTCGGAAGCGTTTTTGATAAGTCTTGAAGTCTCGTTTTTTCATGGTTTGTTTTTACTTTTTTTGAGTCTCGAAACTTTTCACCAAAGAGTCTTGGGCTCGGATTTCTAACTAGGATCTCGGTATCTCGGCAAGTCTCGGATTTTACCATTCGCCACCCCTATCTGGCCCACTCACTCCACCTATTTTACCCCACCAAGTGTACTCAAATAAGCACCTTGATGCTTTAAAAATAAATCCTACACTTCTTCTGTCAGGAAACAAAAAATATTTGTTTTTAATGAGGTGAAATAGCTTATGTTTTGCTCTCTATTTTTTAGTTTAGTAACAGTCAACTCTTTCTTAATGGACACCTCAGTAAGGAGGGGTCTGAATAGGGGTATGCAAATCCGCCGATCTCTTATGATTTATTACCCAAATGTGCTGTTAAAATTTTGCCCTAAGTCCAAAATCCGGGCAAAAATATATTAATTACATGCAAAGTCCAAAATCCAGGCCCAAAAAATGGATGAATCCGCTATCCACTGCAATTGCAGGATTCAGAAATCTATTAAAATCTCATTTTGAATCCAAAATCTGGGCAAAAATATTTTCAAAATCTGCCGATCCGTTCGCCAGACACCCCCCTCAATAAAACAGATGCCTCCCAAAAAATGGACACTTAGAATAATTTGTCCCTGTTGTTCTTTAGTCAATTTCTTTGACTCTCTATAAGATAGTCACCTCCGTAAACTGGATACTTAGCGTTGGTCCCTACCGCTCTTCCGTCATTTCCTTTGACTCTCTATATGATGGACACCTCATTAAACCAGACACCTAGAGTTGGTCCCTGCCATTCTTCAGTCATTTTCTTGACTCTCTATAAGATAGACGCCTCCCTAAAATGGACACCTAGGATTGGTCCCTGTGGGTCTTTACTTATTGTCCTTTACTCAATATGACGTGGATGATACTTACTGTTGATCCTATCAGTGTCTAGCTAAGAGAGAGTTAACTGTAATCATTGGAGCTCTGAATTTCTTTAACCAAACATCGCATTCTTATAGAGAGCTGTGGTACTTATTTAACCCCTTACAGCCTGATATCAGCTTGAAAATTCTTCAAACACTACTTTATGTGATTATCACAGCCTTAAGTTTTAACTTAATAACAATACAGTCAGGGCTGTCACTAAGATTTCAAGTTGGCGGGTAAATACAACAGGAAGTTGGTGGGGAATCAAACAGCTAGGGGTTTCCTTTGGTTCTATTTTTCTGCTATTTTCCTTTGAAATTAGCCAGGGGCCATATTCATAGTATCCGGGGGAAATCCCCGGCCCCTGCCTCTTAATGACAGCTCTGACAGTATTTGTAACTTTTGTTTTTTTTTGTCTATCTTTGTAGGGTACATCACTGAACTGAAAAATATTTACCAGACATCCCAGAGGGCCATCACAGATGATGAAACAACTCTTCATAAGTTCTGTGTTAAGCTTGAAACTGTCATGAGACATGAACAAAAGGGTAGGTATTGACATAGGCGACGGAGCAGGGGGTGGGCAGGGGGATCATTACAGGGGGACAGAGCTTTTTCACGTTTTGGTCCTGGAAAACACTTTTAAATATGTATTTGACAATACCTGGGACATAGGCAACTTCGGAGTGCATATCTTCTGCCCTCAGATGACTCAAGAACTACCTAAGAAGCACCATGAAGTAGGACCACCTGAACAACTGCCTACTGATGGATTGTCACAAATTGATTACAGACACACTAGACACTGTGAAGAGGCCCTGCCAGGGTAAATTCCGACAAGCGACGTGGCCCAAAAAGTACTGACAGCGTGTAAAATGAAATTGCGACAAGAGACAACCTCCCTCGGCCAAATTGTGACAGTGACGGCAAAGCTGACAATAAGCGACAAGCATCTATAAACACCGACACAAGATGTTTTAAAATTCAGACAGGCGACATGAGACCCCCCCCCCCACTAGCAGGGCCTGTGTGAAGGTTGCAAACAGGTTCAGTTGCTTGTGCCTATGAACAATGCAAAGGGCGTTTTGGAAAATCTGAGCAGGGGTATGGATATTGCTGAGTGGAAGATGAGCTCCACCTTGTTTCAAAATGCTCTGCTGCCTCTGGGTACTGACACTGTATTAAGACTGACGGGGGAACTTAATGGACAGAAAGCAAAATGGGTATCTGAATTAGTAACTTTGAAAAAGCTCTTTTTATTGGTGCCGGCCTACGCATGTTTGATTAGTTCTCTGTGCATAAGGTTATCAGGCTTACACTCCATACTACTAAGTATTAACACAATGGTAATACTATTTCCCCCCAGGTATAAAAGTTTTACCTTGAGCGCCCTGCCTAATTAAGAGAATTATTGTTAAGCCTTCTTATGGTTAAAAATTATTAGGTGGACTTCATGCTTCTTTGCAGTATTTTATGTTACAAAACTTTCTTGTTCCCTCCAGCTGTCTTTTGTTGTAAGATGTTGGCAAACTACCTTCTCTTTCCCTACCCCCTCCCCCCTGAGTTTATCCTCCCATCCAGCCCCACCTATATATCTTGTTGCACGGGGCAAGCTCATGGCGTAATTTCTTTCTTTAAATATTTCAGAAAGGTATTCTCTTCTTGGTGCTAGAAAAGACTACTGGAATTTTATCAGTGACTGCATTCCAAAGGATGATGGAATCAGATTTGTTCATGCTGTACCTCAGGTAAACATTTCTGTTTGTTTAAAATATCAAAGCAGGTTACTCATGTTTTTATTGTGGTACTTGTAAAATGTTGACAAGAAAAATCCAGATTTTCATGTCTGCTATTTCCTCCCCTGATTATTTTTAACCAAAGGGGTCTTTCAACCTATGGCCAAGCACTGTAGTCTTATCCCAGTTTAAAAAACCTCTAGCAGGGCGGCAAATAATAAACGGTCATCGGACATTAGCCGGCCAAAATCTGCTAGTGTCCGAAGAAGTCCCACCTGTGTTCAGACATTATGTCTGGAGAATTTTTTTAATCTTAAATCATTTTATGGTAACTAAAGGAAGAAAAAAATCTACCTTGAGTAAATCTTACTTTGTGTTAACACAATCTCAAAGTCATGAAACAGCATTTACTGTGGTATGTCCTCTGTTTTACCCGATGTCAAGTTCAACCTTTTTTGGGTGATGTCCAATCAAAATTTTGTTTTGTTGGACCAAGATGGTGTCTTAGGGCCTGTTTACATGGAGGTGGGGGACCCCAGGTAAGTGAGGTAACATGTGGCGGGTTACCCCACCTATCATGTAAACATGAGCAAATTAAAATGAGAGATTATATGGACAGGCGGGTTACCCCACCTAAGCGGGTGAAGGAGCAAAGGGATGGCGCAGCAGTGAGAGTGCTCGCCTCCCACCAATGTGGCGGGGTTCAAATCCCGGCATCAACGCCATATGTGGGTTGAGTTTGTTGTTGGTTCTCTCCTTTGCTCCGAGAGGTTTTTCTGCGGGTACTTCCGTTTTCCCCTCTCCTCAAAACCAACATTTCCAAATTCTAATTTGACCAGGAATCAGGTAGACAAAGAACCACTATATGGATGTGCAACCTCCAGATTATTATTTATTTATTTATTTATTTAGAGGTGAAGATCAGGGCTGTGCTATAGTAGCACCTGGTGATCCCCTTGGGAGACTACTACACTGTACGATAATCTTTGGCCTTGTCCACACATATCTGGATATTTTTGAAAATGGAGAGTATTTTCTGCTTTGAAAAAAATTCATGTCCACACATACATGAAGCATATCCAAACCATTTTTTGCCCATCCACACAAAAAGGGTAAAACAATGGAAATCAATAGGGTACACTAGAGAGCATGTGTGTTATGACGTACGTCATCATTCAAAAACTCTATTCTTGGGACCATTTTCGAAACCCTGCTTTTTTGGTACCTGAAAATGCCATTTACTTGTGGACAATAGGCTAAAACAGAGGAATGCAATCCTCATTTTCAAAAATACATGTATCTGGATTTGTGTGTAAGGGGTCTTAGTTTTATCACAAAACTTTAGTGTCATCTTCCTTGATTTTATTGTTTCAAAATTTTGTTTAAACACAGCTTGAACCAGACTTGTCCAGAAACAATTTTTGTAAAGCAACTGTAAATGCAACAACTAGATCCTGCTGAAGAGGTTTCGCATGGTAATTTCTTTTGAGGATGGAGTTACTTCCATGGTACATTACCCTTTATAACTTCTGTACTTTTTGTAACACTGTTTCCTGTGTTGTGATCTCTAGGTTAAAACACCCCAAGGTAAAGGCAGGGCATTTATTCGCTTTTCACTAGTAAAAAGATCACTGGCAGATGCAATCCAGAGATGCTTGGTAATGAGAAAACATTTAAGGTAGGTGTATGGCTGTGTATGTTGTAGTTAAAGTAATTTATGTTCTTCTTCTTCCTTGATTACCCCATCTCCTTCAAGAGAAAATTCTCTCGGCGGGTCTTGAAATAATAGCCAGTCAGTGGATAATGTGTGGTCAAAAGTAGTTTTTGTCCAGTTAAATCCGTGGATGACTGGACACTTTGCCCGGTAGTTTATGCATCTAATGGCAATTGATTGGGAACTGCTGATTTCAGATAAGGTTAGACATGATGGCCATTCATGAAGAAAAAAAGGGGGGAAAGAAAGATACGACCAGTCCAGACCAAGAATTTTGTCAATTAAATGATTCATAATGGTGATTTTTCGATTTTTGGGCGTTGCAAGTTATTGCTTTGTCATCTAAGTGATCAAGTCATTGCAAATTCAGAAGTAGGGTGTGTAGTGGTATGTGAAATATTCTTATAGTCTGTGTGGATTTTTCTGTGAAGTGTGATAATCCTAGATGATGTTGGTAGGTAATGAATTTAAACTGACAGCAAATAAGAAGAACTAAAGAATAGAAGAATATATCTGAAGCAACAGGTAGTAGCACAGATCAACATTATAAGTGCTTTTATTTTCAATTTAGCCGAATGCTGCCTTTTACCCAGAGAGACCACTGTATTGTGTTTTCCATGCTTTCTGCATTTAATGCAACGTTTCATAAACAAAATGAGCTTAGTTAATATACTTGTTTCATTCTCAGACATTTGTGGGGATGGAGAGGATAGGAGGGTCTTTATTAGAGATAGTAAGATATTTGTCTGGCTAAAAATGGGTAATGTTCGAGCAAAAATAGGTTTGACTGGACAACTTGACAGGTGCTAGCCATAAACTTTTTTTAAGCCCTGTCATGGAATTCAGAAATGAATAATACATACTAAAAAATTTATCCGTTCTTTTTTTTGTCTTATTCTCCTCAGCCTAAGAGCCAAATAATTATAAATTTTATATTCTGAAACTGGCCTAATCTTATTTTTCTTTGTTTTATGATCATACATCATCAGACAGAAAATAAAGCATAACTTTTACTGTGTGACAAATTCCACTGTCACACTCTGTTTGATTTATATTTCAGTTCATGTTATGGACCTGAAGCAATTCTCTGCCATCCATCACTGTCAACAGCGCTGATTAACAAGCTGTATGATTTAAATGACATTGAGTTTGATTTGCCTTGTGCTGGACATGAGCTGGATATTTCATGGCCAGCATTTTCAAGGTGATTGAAATTCAGGAAATTTATGCACTAAACCTTTAGTTATATCTTTAAAACTTGCACCACTTGCTTCAAAAACACAATTTTTCCTTCTTTCTCAGGATTACTCTGAGGTTAATTTATAACTCCAAATTGAAGTTTTGACTAGTCTAACTGGCTCTGTCAAGGAAAATCAAGAGTCCACCATTAATATTGACTTCCATTTTCTTACTTTTACTGAAAACGCTAGTTTAAAAGCCAAAGTCTTGATTTAACTTCAGAATTGTCCCGAAAAAGACAAAAAAAATTGTGGTTCACCTTCAGTTTATCATTAAGTGATTTAAAAAAATATTTTGCATGATAGAGAGATTCAATTAAAATGTTCTCATGCTGAATAACAAGCCAGTTGATAATAATGCTTAGTGCTTAACCCTTCACTCCCAAACAGGGGCAAAAGTTAAAATGCACAATTGCACAATGGTCATACATGGTAATGGATGAACTCCTATGCAATGTTGTGAGTCCTGGTATAACAAGGAAAAATAGATTTACAACTGTTCAGTACAATGTGTCCCTCTCTCCAAAGGCAAAGTCCAATTACCATATAGCCGTTTCATGTTTTTCCTGCGCCAAATGCTGTAGACTGTCACTAATATTGTCTATTTATTGCTACTTTTTTCTCTCTACTTTTTCAGGAGATCTTTTGATGAAAATCAAGGTTCAGTGTCCGGTAGAAGGAGCAGCATCAGTAGTCTTACTAGCGTTGATTTAAGGGTAAAAAGTACTTCATTTTTATAAACAAATACTGGATGAGGTGTTTTTTTATATATCTGGAATAATCAAGAACAACAGAAGTGTTGTTGGTTTCAGTTGATAACATCTACCGACGCCTTGATTATTCGGGGTATCACGAAAACCGTATCTAATATATCTTTTTATTATACATTGGTTTGAATAAAGTAGCAACAGACACACTGTCGCAAGGAGCACAGTTTGACTTTGCTCAAGGACATCATGTAATGCAAGAGACAGACTAGACAGTTATCTTCTAGCAGATAACAAACCGTACAAACTAATCTGTAGGTTGCGCTGATTTCCAGAATTTGTTGTTGTTGTTGCAGAATGAGAGGCCAGATCCCTTGGTTGGCCTATCTTCAGAAGTCGCTTCACTGAAAAGCATTTTTGTGGCGTAAAATTCTCATGAACTTGCAGATAACGTAGAGAGTGGGTCCAATGATACTCAAAACACTGATTCAATGTCTGCAGAGCCTCCCACCATCACTGGAATGACATTAGAAATCTCTCATCTTCACCAGGCGATTTTGAAATGGAAGTCAGAGCAAGAGTCGCAATTAAGTAAGGCTTACAATGAGGCCAAAAAAGCGCAAGATGAAAGAAAGTTCCTAAGTCAAGAATACGAATTGAAAAATAAGCAACTAAATGAAAAATATAGCACTTTGATGAAAGGTATGACTGAAGATGCGCATACAAAAGTCCAAGAGCTGTCTTCTAAGCTAAGCAAAGCTGAGATGGCATTAAGTGAAAGAGATAGGGAAATTGAGATGCTGAAAGAGGAAGTGAAGGTGTCGATAGGTTCGTCACAGGAAGCTCAAAGGTCAGCCATTGAACTTGAAAGACAACTAACGACGTCTGAGAGAAAGCAGACTGAACTATCGTCTGCGTGTGAACAGTTCAAAGAGCGATTAAAGCACAAGGAAGAAATAACTTTGGAATTAGAAACAAAGCTTAAAGAACTTAAAGAAAAGTGTAATAACTTTGAATCGTCAGAAGTGGAATCCAACAAGAAAGTGGCGGAGATGGAAGGAGAATTAAAAGCGAAAGCGGTCGTTTTGGAGCGAGTTCAGGAGTCGTTTGAAAAGTTGAATGGAATGGTGTTCGGTTCATTCGAAGAGTTGGAGACCGAGTTAAAGACTCGATTGGTGGAAAGGGAAAGGGGACTAGAAAATCAAAGTGCGGAGAACAGAAGACTTGAAACAAATATCGTGGAAATTCAGCAGCAAAATAGAGAGTTAAATAATCAACTTGCGGATGCAAAAACAAAAGCTGAGGAAATGGAAAATTCCAACAACCAATTGCAAACCGTTCTTGAAGATTTAAAGCTTCAGCTTAGTTCACAACAGCAACAAGAAGGGAGATTTTTGTCAGAACTGAACGAAGTCTTGCAAAGTCACGAAGGTACACGCAGTAATGAAGAGAACGGATATGCAGGTGAACAAAATGATTATGAAGATCAGACAGATGGGCACGGAGCAAAAGATTTTAGCAAAGGAGTTTTGAAGGTGAGATAAAAGAAAACCATGTCAACGCATTCGGAAAAAAAAAACTCATGAAGGTTGCGTCTTTTCAAACAAACCTGCGACTGGCTTTACTTATCCAGTCAGTTTACAGGCACTCCACTCAACTTATTAGAAACAAATAGTTCAAATATAACATAACAGGATCAAAAACCGCAACTGGCATGGCAGGAGGCAACCAGTTAGCTATTTACAAGAGTGGACGAGGATTTGAACTCGGGACAATCACCAACAAATCCAGCAAGTGGCCAGGGTGGTGTCCGGTCGTTTCGCTACAAGTCGATTCGCGGCGAAGTTGTAAAGTCGTTTTGCTGCATCATGAAGTTGTCTGTTGCTTTGCTGCAAAACATTTTTCGTTTTGCTGCAGACGAGAGTAGATTCCCCTCATAATAAAAGCTAAGTCCCTTCATACTTTGAGTTTATGTTGTTGATATTTTCGTGAAATCCTTCCAAAACCTTTTTTCTCACCGTAGTTTTGGACTTTTGGCGAAACGACTTGTAGCGAAACGACTTGTAGCGAAACGACCAGTAAGCGCCAGAGTGGGACTTGAACCGGGGACCGCCAGATTGCGAGTCCGAGGCGCCTTTACCACTCGCCATGCTGCCTCCTGCTGTGATAAAGTTGTATGGTGGTGCAAACTTCCAAAGGGTGGCTTAAGTCGAAATACGCGTGAAAAACTCCAGAATTTTTTTCATTTACCCCTTTTTCCCTCCTAGTGTGAATGGTGGGGTCGCGTATGCCGTGGCTCTAACTTTTTAGTCTGTCCGCCGAAGACTAAGTGTTTCCCATTGGTTAGTAACTCCTAAGCCAGATAAGCGGAAGCGAAATTTGGATCAAACCCCCAACTTGAGAGGCTAATCAAATGAAAGTACAACGGCTTAAGAAAATTCAAGTGAATGGTCGCACCACAAGGTTTTGTCTTCAAAATCGGAAGTTAGAAATTCTTCTTATGCCTCCATGATCAATTGTGGGAAGAAACCTTCATAGAATGAAATGCTTTGTGAGTTTCTTATTCTTCTTTGGTTATCTGCAATGATCCCCTTTGGTTGTTGCAGAGTTAGAAAGGAACTGCTAACGGCGTGCTGTTGAAATACGTCTCGTTTCTTTTCAGCAAGTCACGCATCTTGTATCAGAAATGTCCTCTGAGAAAAATCAAAATTTCAGAAGAATCCTTAGAGTTATTGTTAAAAAAGAAATGTAACACAAATAAGGACGTAAGATAGAATAATTCTGTGTTTGACCACGACACAGCTCCAATTAATCCACCCTCTAGGGTACAATTTGCTATTTTGTAATTTGATCCACATTTTGACATCAATAACTCCGCTGTACGGCAATTCTAACCTTTGGTCAAACACAGATTTGTTCATTAACATGCTCTTTGTGTATTTGCCAAATTTCACGAAGAAATAATGATCCATTCCTCCAAAAAACTGGTTCCCGTAACTCAAGGTAAATCGGTCACGCGGTAATTAACGCTTTTCCGGTGCAAAAAAGCTTATTTTCCTCTCAAAATCAACTGTTTTTGCTCGATACTACCGTCACAGACCTTCTTGCCCGCCATTTTGAATCACCGCTGTGTAAAATGCTCGTGGAAGCCTACGAAAATGCCAAATGACCTCTCTATAGCCCCCTTGGATTTTGATACGTGACCAGTTGCTAGGTGTGACGCATTTCCGGAAGATGCATTACTCAGTGTCAGCTTGTGTCAGCTATAATGCAGTGAAGCGCCCCGAAGTATGAAGATTGAAGAAGAGTTTTATTCAAAATTGAAAAGAATTGCTTCCGTAAAGTGAAAGAAATTGGCAGAAAAAAACAGACCAGAGGATTAGGGGCCAAAAAAACGTTTTACTCTCGCGGAAAAATTGTCAGAATATATCAGGTGAGAAGACACAACCGATGTAATGCAAATTTAAAACAATAATAAGCCCTGGAAAACGGAGTATATTTCAAGATCATAACAAATATTGACGAGAAGCAAGTAATATTAGTCATCACAGCTTTAACAGAAGCAAGAAAAATCAAGTTAGACATACAGCGGCAGCAGTTTGTCAATGAATCCAAGCAGTGAATAGATTTTGTTCAGCACATCAATAGAACTTGATGCCGAAAAGAGGAGTCAAATTGCACTCCTGCCGTCCTTTTTCTTAGTAACGGAAATGAAAATTTTTCTTTAACTTCCGGTAAATCAGTCAACTTTTGAGTAGATTTTCTCCTAAATGCGAAGGTATATTTAAAAAAGAACACCAGATATGCATATTAGATCATCTGAACTTACTGTAGAAAGATTTTGAGGGCAAAATAAAATGTTGAAAATTTGCCGGTGCAGATACCTTAATGGACACCTCAGTAAGGAGGGGTCTGAATAGGGGTATGCAAATCCGCCGATCTCTTATGATTTATTACCCAAATGTGCCGTTAAAATTTTACCCTAAGTCCAAAATCCGGGCAAAAATATATTAATTACATGCAAAGTCCAAAATCCAGGCCCAAAAAATGGATGAATCCGCTATCCACTGCAATTGCAGGATTCCGAAATCTATTAAAATCTCATTTTGAATCCGAAATCTGGGCAAAAATATTTTCAAAATCTGCCGATCCGTTCGCCAGACACCCCCCTCAATAAAACAGATGCCTCCCAAAAAATGGACACTTAGAATAATTGGTCCCTGTTGTTCTTTAGTCAATTTCTTTGACTCTCTATAAGATAGTCACCTCCGTAAACTGGATACTTAGTGTTGGTCCCTACCGCTCTTCCGTCATTTCTTTTGACTCTCTATATGATGGACACCTCACTAAACCAGACACCTAGAGTTGGTCCCTGCCATTCTTCAGTCATTTTCTTGACTCTCTATAAGATAGACACCTCCCTAAAATGGACACCTAGGATTGGTCCCTGTGGGTCTTTACTTATTGTCCTTTACTCACTATGAGGTGGATGATACTTACTGTTGATCCTATCAGCGTCTAACTAAGAGAGAGTTAACTGTAATCATTGGAGCTCTGAATTTCTTTAACCAAACATCGCATTCTTATAGAGAGCTGTGGTGCTTATTTAACCCCTTACAGCCCGATATCAGCTTGAAAATTCTTCAAACACTAACTTATTTGATTATCACAGCCTTAAGTTTTAACTTAATAACAATACAGTCAGGGCTGTCTCTAAGATTTCAAGTTGCCAGGTAAATACAACAAGTAGGTGGGGAATCAAACAGGTAGGGGTTTCCTTTTGTTCTATTTTTCTGCTATTTTCCTTTGAAAGTAGTGGGGGCCACATTCATAGTATCCGGGGGAAATCCCCGGCCCCCACCTCTTAATGACAGCTCGGACAGTACTTGTAACTTTTGTTTTTTTTCTGCCTATCTTTGTAGGGTACATCTCTGAACTGAAAAATATTTACCAGACATCCCAGAGGGCCATCACAGATGATGAAACAACTCTTCATAAGTTCTGTGTTAAGCTTGAAACTGTCATGAGACATGAACAAAAGGGTAGGTATTGACATAGGCGGTGGAGCAGGGGGGGGGGGGCAGGGGGATCATTAGCTCCACAAACAAAATCTCGGGCGGACAGAGCTTTGTCACATTTTGGTCCTGAAAAACACTTTTAAAGATGTATTTGACAATACCTGGGACATCTTCAGAGTGCATATCTTCTGCCTTTAGACGACTCAAGAACTACCTAAGAAGCACCATGAAGCAGGACCGCCTGAACAACTTCCTACTGATGCATTGTCACAAATTGGTTACGGATACACTAGACACTGTGAAGGTTGCAAACAGGTTCAGTTGCTTGTGCTAATGAACAACGCAAAGGGTGTTTCGGAAAATCTGAGTAGGGGTATATGTATGGCTGAGTGGAAGATGAGCTCCCCCAAGTTTCAAAATGCTCTGCCGCCTCTCGGTACTGACACTGTATTAAGACTGAAGGGGGAACAGAAAGCAAAATGGCTATCTTAATAAGTAACTTTAAAAAAGCTCTTTTTATTGGTGCTGGCCTATGCATGTTTGATTAGTTCTCTGTGCATAAGGTTTTCCGGCTTACACTCCATACCACTAAGTATTAACACAATGGGTTTACTATTTCCCCCAGGTATAAAAGTTTTACCTTGAGCGCCCTGCCTAATTAAGAGAATTATTGTTAAGCCTTGTTATGGTTAGAAATTATTAGGTGGACTTAATGCTTCTTTGCAGTATTTTATGTTGCAAAACTTTCCTGTTCCCTCCAGCTGTCTTGTGTCGTAAGATGTTGGCATCCCACCTTCTCTTTCCCTACCCCCTCTCCCCTGAGTTTATCCTCCCATCCAGCCCCACCAATATATCTTGTTGCACGGGGCAAGCTCATCGCATAATTTCTTTCTTTAAATATTTCAGAAAGGTATTCTCTTCTTGGTGCTAGAAAAGACTACTGGAATTTTATCAGTGACTGCATTCCAAAGGATGATGGAATCAGATTTGTTCATGCTGTACCTCAGGTAAACATTTCCGTTTGTTGAAAATATCAAAGCAGGTTACTCATGTTTTAATTCTGGTTACTTGTAAAAATGTTGACAGTAAAATCCAGATTTTCCTGTCTGTTATTTCCTCCCCTGATTATTTTTAACCAAAGGGATCTTTTAAGCTATGGACAAGCACTGTAGTCTTATCCCAGTTTAAAAAAGCTCCAGCAGGGCGGCAAATAACAAACGGTCATCGGACATTGGCCGACCAAAATCTGCTAGTCTCCGAAGAAGTCCCACCTGTGTTCAGACATTATGTCCGGATAATTTTTTTAATCTTAAATCATTTTACGGTAACTAAAGGAAGAAAAAAAATCTACCTTGAGTAAATCTTACTTTGTGTTACCACAATCTCAAAGTCATGAAACAGCATTTAGTGTG